GGCAAACTGGCTTTCTGCGGCGAAGAAGGTGGACAAGGTGGCTGTACAAAATCTGATGGCAGGGGTCAAGCGTAAGGCCCGGCAATTCGGATTTGGAAAAGCGGAAGCCTAACTGAATATTTTTCCTGAATTTTATACTAATTGAACTTGAAAAAGAAATTTAATTTGATTTTTTAAATAAACGATTTCACCGATTTACACGCGTTTTCCCTTGACCAAATTTTGACCGTATCACCCTTTATTAACTAAAGTTTCGTACCAAACGCATAATTGACTTGTTAACTTTGAAATCATGGATTTATTTGACAAATCTTTGTTCGCTGATGACACAGGCATTTCCGCTAAAGGAAGAAGTCTTCGTGTTATTTGCAGCAGACTTCAGAAAAGTTTAGATATTTTCTCTTCTTATTTACAAAAATGGAAGATTTCTCCCAACGCTTCCAAAACTCAACTTATAATATTTCCACATAAGCCTAGAGCTTCGTTTTTGAAACCTAGTAGTAGTCACATAGTCACTATGAACGGAGTTCCAATTTCCTGGTCAAACCAAGTGAAATATCTTGGATTAATACTTGACCAAAAATTAACTTTTAAAGATCACATTGAGGGCATTCAAGCCAAATGTAACAAATATATTAAATGTTTGTATCCTCTTATAAACAGGAAATCCAAACTTTGCCTGACGAATAAACTTCTAATATTTAAACAAGTTTTTAGACCGGCCATGCTTTACGCTGTACCAATATGGTCTAGTTGCTGCACTACCAGGAAAAAAGCACTTCAAAGGATTCAGAACAAAATTCTGAAAATGATTTTGAAGTTGCCTCCCTGGTACAGTACAACCGAAGTACATAGAATTTCGAATGTTGAGACTTTAGCACAAATGTCCAACAAAATAATTAATAATTTCAGGCAAAAATCGTTGCAATCCTCAATTGCAACGATTAATTCCCTTTATACTTAGATAAGATTTAGTTTTAGTTTTTAGTTTTAAGATATCAATTGTTATACTGACATGCAGGTTAAAAAACCTGTTTAAAATACTGAATTGCCAAGACATGAACAATGTAAAAACACTTAGATATATATCATAACAATTAAGGCTGGTACGTTACTGCAGTAACTGGAGCACCTAGGTTAAAATGAAATGTAATTTATTTTGAATTTGGAACAAATAAAGAGTTAAAAAAAAAAAAAATAAAAAAAAAAAAAAAAAAAAAAAAAAAAAAAAAAAAATGGATTTATTTGAAGTTTTTTGCTCGATAGGCCCAAAATGGGCGATTAGGCCGAAGTAGTTATCTACCCTACATGAGCAAATCGATGATCATCTCTTTTTGCGAGTGGTGGGGGGGGGGGTGGACACCCCTCACCATCCCTCTCCAACTGGGGAGTTTGGTAAAGAGAGATGATTCGTACCTTCCTCAAAGTTGTTCTTGCTCGCTTTCTACTCTCTCTATTTACAATTTTCACACTGCCGTACTCTAGTGGAACTATCAATACTAAACTTTCATCTCCTCATCTATCGTATAAAATAACTACTTTAAGTCTGTTATTTGACGATTTTTTTTGATTGGAAGGGGAGGTAAAACCACTGCGTCCATTATTTGAACTTTTGTGGTAACCCTATTTGCTGTTTGTATCATGCAAACCGACCACTATTTAACGAGTGGACAGCTAATTGCCTGGACACATCTTTTCCCAGTCCGGTATAATATGGTTTATAAAACCAACTACCCTTCCAGGATGCACCAAAACTGCAGAGCGGATGTTCCGAGGTTTCACGTTCCAAATTGCAGAAACGACAGATATCACTCTGAACCCGACCAATGTTCTTCATGTGATATCTACTAGAACAGTGCCCAGTTACTAGGCCAGTGTATATACTAAGAGCTCTTTTATTAAGCTCTAAGAGCTTGTTGGTGTATGTTATATTAGGAGTTATAAATCTTTTCGACTAGTTGCATTTTGTGACAGTCATCCAATTGGCTATCACCCTTTGCTCTTCCCACCATTTGAGTTCCATTTTTACCGTACAGTATGATATTCCACACTATGGTTCTGGGCCAAAAAACTGTGAATTGGAACCTAACTTTGCTTGGTCGTCTGCCTTTTCATTCCCTTCAATGCCACAGTGTCCTGGTACCCAATATAAATTTACTGAGTTCCGTTGGCACAGTTGCCGAAGCGAGAGAATACATTCCCAGACGATCTTTGATGTACATTTGTAAGCACTCAGTGCTTTCAGCGCTGCTTGACTATCAGAAAAAAATATAAATATTTGCACATCTGTATTTCACCCTCAGACAAACATGTACACATTCAAGTATAACTGCAATTTCCGCATGAAACACTGTTGGAAAATGCCCCATCGTAACTGAAATATTTGTCCCGGGGCAAAAAATTCCTGCACCTGTTCGTATTCCAATTGTTGAGCCATCTGTGAAAAATATGATTGAGCCTTGACCACCAGTTTCCCAATCCGAACGTGCCGTTTCACATACGTTGAAGGGAATTTCATAGTTGTCCTCTGGTTTCATCCAGTCTCCATTCATACTCATCACTGGTCCTCTTTGGAAGTATTGTAAGACGCTTAGATGACCAACAAGATCCCCTGGAATGACTTTTTTTTTTAGATTGAGCCTTAGAGCACTTGTTTCCGCTTCCTGTTACACATGTTACACATGCAAGGGCAGCAGATTGAAGATTTTTTCTAATGCTTTTTAAGGGGTGCTACGCACCGCACCCGTTATTGCAATGCATGCTGGACGTTGAAGTTTTGCTAGTTTCCTCTGTGCAGTGGCCTCTTTTGATTTTGGCCACCACACTAACGAAGCATACGCTACTTTCGGACGGATTATTGATGTGTAAATCCACATTGTCATTTTTGGTTTCAAACCCCACTTTCTTCCAATAGTTTTGAAGCATGCCCACAGGGCACTGGTTGCTTTGTTATTCACAAAATCAAGCTGAGCATTCCAATTCAACTTGGCGTCCAAAATAACTCCTAGGTATTTGACCTGTTCACTAAGATGGATCTGCTCTCCTCCAAGATTGAATTCTTTTAGGTTCATCTTCCTCTTTCTAGTAAAAGGGATGATTACGACTTTTGATGGATTGAAACTTAGGCCCTCTTTAATGAACCAAAACTGGGTAAACTTTAAGGCCTCTGGCATTCATTCAGAAGTGATAACGTCAGACTTTCCTCTTACTATAATGTCAATTTGTTTTAGCCATCGTAGTTAGCTGCTTCGAAAATCGATTGCAATTCTGTGTTGAACTGTTGAACAGTGATAATTATAATTAGAAATAATGACTCTTATCATTGTGGAATGGCGTATCTCAAAATAGTCACATCATACGGTACTTAAAATTATGAAATACTATTAATTATATTATAATTAATTAGGTACGAAATTATTGGAGGATCATTTATCATCATCCGAATATAATTCATTGACGGAATCATGGAACGTACTCAAGTCATGGCTCGTAATCAAATTATCTTCTTCTTTATCAGATAGATGACCAGTTCCCAACACCATAAAAGTCCAACACATTGGGGAAGTTCCACGAAAACAGCATATATGGTTATCTACAACTTAAATTAAAAGGTTATAAATAATTAAGAATGAAATATGTGAAATTCGTAGGAAAATAAATACATTTCTTCTATCTAAAATTCATAATTTTTTAATTTAAATTATTTTTCCGTCGAAAAAACACAGAAAATATAACCATAGAGGTAACTCTAAGACCAGAAGGTCCCGAAGAAACGAGCTCAACTTTTTTGCTCAGCTCTGGTACTATCTTCGGACCCAAGCTAATCCATTCAACCCTCAAAACATAGGAAAATCCTCTAACCCCTCATTTTATCTTTCAAACTTTCATAGCGAATCAAAACAAACATAGTGTAGTACTGGATTTTATACTATAATGGGGTACGTTAGTCGATTTGCTTGGGACCAATAGGCTAGCCAAGTAGTAAGCCAATTTAAAATCGTTTGTTTCCACCGGTTGATATAACTTACTTGCCAGTACGATGGCAATAAAGTTTTAACTGTCTTGTCAGTTAAATACTGTTAAAATAATGATCGCATTTACTGGAGTTTCCAGTTAGAATTACCGTTATCGTTACTGAACGAACCGTTGTTTTGACAATTCGTGTTTACTTTTTTTACGGAAAATTCGGACTTTAACTGGGTGATCCGCAATTCTGAATCCAAGTAAAATTTTACTGACTTTATTAATCTATTGTAAGTGTGTAGTCTGAATCCAGTTGACGCTTACAATCTTCAATGTATATCGTTAATTTCACGAATGAAGTAATGGAAACAAAATAGCTAAAATTATTTTCTATTTATTTTTTCCCTTGTAAAACCTTTTGAGTACCACGGTTCAAGAATGAACAAAATAATTGTCTTCTCAGTTAAATTACAGCAAAATAAACGAACAAATGTACTGTGCTTTCCAGTTAACGGCTTTACTTCCCGTGGAAGGCGTAATCAGAGATGTTACGCCTCAGAACATCCCGGCGGCGCCGACTGGGATTGAACCCATGCCTGCTGGGGTGAGAGGTAATCACGCTTACCACTACACCACCGGCGCCGCTAAGGTAGTACAGGTTATCCACAACTTTTCGATCCACCTCATGTTTGTTGATGTACCATTAACTAGTCAGTACTTATGTAAACTTCTCCGTGTGCTCATTATTCTCGTCCATATGTGTTCTTGAGAATTCAACTCAACTTTTCTTGAACAATTTTGTCTGATTTCTTATTTGCACTGCAGCTCATGTAACATGTTATAATAATTATCGACATGAAACGTGTCATCAAAATAGCTTTATCCCATTCTATAGGTCACGAGTTCAAATCTCATCTCCGGAAATGGGGCCAGTAATTATTTAAAAAACCTGCTCAGAAACTTCATCAGAAATAATATATTCCATTTTGCATTGCGTGAAATAAATCTAACATCATCATCACCCGTCATACATATAGGTAAAACCATCACGCGAAGACAAGCAGATCTTACCGGTCTACGCGGATGTGATTACAGCCGTCCGGTACCTCAAACACGGAGGATATGCATTTCACTGCGAAATGACCGAGGCATTCCAGGACATTGCCAATCAGTTCGATGCAAATGAAGTTTGTGAGCTGCGAACGGTAATTTGTCGATCCTGATTCCCTGATTCCGTATAATCAGTTCCAGTCAATTTTTGACAGGCCAAAGGACTTTTCAACGATATGCGATTGATGAGCTTTGTGCTTCCGAAACGGAGTATGTACACGGAGATGTTCAGGATTACGTATGTCGGTGATATTAAGTATTGAACTCTACAAATTAACAGTTCTTGATTTCAGTATGATGCGTGTCCAGGAGGTGGGATTGATCAAACGAACTCTGAAGATTCACAAAATTGAAAAACCGATATGCCAATCGGGCGGACGCGTTCATCCGGTAGAGTTCTTTGGCGTTTCAACGGCATTCGGTGTTCTCTGCGGTAGGCACTGGTTGCTCAACATCTTATACATTTTTTTTAAATCGGGTTATCAATATTTGCAGTTGGCACGATAGTGGCAGCGGTTCTTCTGATCGCAGAAAGGCTAAGCACCAGAAGCCCCAGGAAAGTCATTTTCCTGCATACAACCATAGAAAATGCATAAAATGTTCTCACTAATGATTGAATATCGTCTTTGACCATAAATATATTCAAGATAACGACAATCAGCAAAAAAAAACAAAGTTCATCTATCGGGTGCTACGGTAGCATCACTAATGAGCTCAGCGCTTAGAACTTTTACTCATTTAGCGAGTTCTGCAGCGTGGTGTGGTGACTCAACCTCCAACCGCTCAGCCATGCTTTTTTAGAGAGCTGTTTGTGGAAAGAACCGTTGCTCCTCTAGTAGCACTCGAGTCATGCGGGCTGCGTGGACAGAATCAATAACAGCCGATCCTAAACTACACGCTTTATGATTATGTTTTACTTATATACTTCAGTAATTTTATTGCGTATTATTATTACTGTTACAAGACTACGCTTAACCCCCTTCTGAGTTTACTCCAGCAGGGCCACAAATTAGTCTATTATGGCTCCTCGGGGGAACCTGATCGACATATGGGACACTGGTGTCGTCGCCTCCGTGTTCATTCTCGTCGCCGACAGCTGACCACGCGTGGACCTACTCACCTGTCTTGTTGTTTTGCGCGGAAATGTTTTGTAAGCAACCATCAGAAGCAGCAGCCGGTAGAAAATGAGATCATGCGGCTGCTGTTTGGTGTAACTTCCATCAGGAGGGAGGACTCAGTCTTGCGCACTAATTATTGGTTTTAGAGGCCTAGGCATTGGAGCACCGTCCGTCGTAGCTGTTTTGCTCATCATCGGGTTATTGCATGTTTAATGAGAAAAAGAAAAACCTCCACACCAAATGGGAGCTATAGGCCCATTATAAGGTAGGTAGCTATAGCTACACTAAAGGCTTGGCCGGAATCCTAGACTTGATGAGCGCCATTGGCTCTCCAGGATGGAACTACCGTACGTGGCCAGTCCTCTCGGGGATGGGGGAACTGTTTTACGGCCAACAGCTCAATCCATGCTAGGAGGAACCGTTACGCTTCGGCGATATTATTGTTTTTTAATTATTTGAGTCTGTATTTCACAGCTGCGTTGTGTGCGCGCCTCTCGAACGTGGGCATAATTTTAGAGAGCAAAATATTATTTGTTGATTCGATAAAGATGATAGTTTTACGATGGACCACGAATGGACGGAGTTTTTGCGGCAGGTTTTGACGTCGTTGGATGCACTGAAAGTAAAGCCCTCTCGTAAAAGTATGGATGACTTTCACCACTGAACTGAAAAAAAAGTTTGTTCCGATCGATCAAACCAGTGCATTTTGGAACAACTTTTGACAGAGGTCCATACTTTTACTTAGAGGGCTTTAACTAAAAGTAGGTTAGAAATGGTTATGATTTTTAACGAGCTTCGTAGGTTTGTTCTCTAGATATGCGATTTGCCAATTACACCTGAAAATGAGGAAAAGATAGCAATATTTTTTAAGTTTATGCACCATAACCCAAATGGGTGTTCGTTATGTTCACGGAAGCAAAATTATACCCAAACTTGAGTTGTTTTCACTCATCTCCGGAGCTCAGCCCAATAGTATTTCATTCGAACAGGAGTAAGTGTTTCGTTATGGGCTAGCATGGACGTCAATACCAGAGGTGGGTACCTTTTAGACTATATTTCTAACAATGATATAAGCATATGTAACAGAGGAGATACTTCAACCTTTATAAATGCAATTAAAAGTTCTTGATTTGACTTAAAAATTTTAAAATTGGCATGTGTCAGACGAAATATCTTTGCCTGATCACAAGCAAATAATATTTGAATATGAGGCTGGTCAACAGCTCACACAAACATTTAGAGATCCTAGGAAAACAGACTGGGAGCTATGTAATTCAGTGCTAGTAGTAGGAAGAGCCACGATAGTAATTAGCTCAAACACTTGTGAAGAACTTGAGAATAGTTTTAAATAACTTTCAAGTTTGATCTAACATGCTTTTCATGAGAGTTGCATCGAAAAGGAATGCTCTACAAATAGGGATGTACCTTGGTAGAACAACAGGCTACAGAGGCTTTACAACAGGGCTAAACAAACACAACAGTGGGAACAATATAAGGAATCACTTATAATCAGGAAATATGGAGATCAAAGAGGATACACTGGAGGCATACATGTGAGAACATTGAAAATACTCCAGCAACTGCTAGGTTGCAGAAAATACTCGCTAAAGATCATTCCACTTTGAAAAAAGAGGATGACTCTTTTACTACTTCTACAAATGAAACGTTAGAGTTGGTGATGAGAACGCATTTTCCTTGTTCTATTATTAATTCAAACGAATACCAAAACGCAACGCCAACAGCTATTGGTATCGATGAAACCAGGACGGATATTCATGAAATATTGAATGAAATGACTGAGTTAGACAGAACTAGAGCTGATGCTTGCACTTTGTCCAACAAAATCTTTAATGAAAGACAAGTTGAATGTGCGATTGTCTCCTGTGAACCTTTCAAGCCACCAGGTAGGGATGGAATCCCGAGCATAGGATTATACCAAATTGATAACAAGTTCTGATACCCGGTTTTCTAGATTTGATAAATGAACATGTTATCATTGTGGTTGAATAAACAGCCAACATAACAAACATTATAACATAATAATATTCCTTGGATATCACAAAAATAACTGATTAAGTTATCATTGAAAACATCTTGATCCTGCACACTTAGAAATAGCTAATTTTACTCGTGACGGAATCCATCTTTGACATAAAGGATGAGACGTAAACAAACATGTCATGTAAAATTAAGTGCTCCGAGACTGAAAAGTTCAAAAGTACGTTTGATTGAGCTGAATTTCGCGTCTATTATGACTCAATTTTGTGTCAAAATTGACGCTCGTATATGTCAGTCTCAGAGCACCTAAATTTACATGATTTTTTCTAAGTGTGTGTGATCCATGCCAATTTTTTCAACAAATTTCAAATTATTTTATTGATTTGGTATTGAAACCTTACCATGCGGACAATATTTGAAGTTTTGATGAACCTTGCATCATTTCATATAGTTTCATGATAACAACTCTAGACCAAAAATTGAAATAGGCGGAACAACCAAACGGTAACAATGGCTTTAAAAGCAAATTTCTCGAAAATCTAAATACATCCACGCAATCTAACACAAGCATCTGAAAGAGGACACTTCCTTTATCGAATGGCTTTGTTAATTTGCGTGGGTGTATTCTGAATCTCGAGAAATTTGCGTATTAGAGCGGGGCTTATCATGTGTGAAAATAGCTTCGGAATACTTGCGTTCTTGAAATGAGCTATTGTAGCAGCGGTAGAGCTGTCGCCTTCTAACTCCCGGGTTCAAGCTTCTTTGCATTCATAAGAAATGATTGCGGGCAGATTTCATCCATAATACCACTGCCAGACAGTGAGAGTTAGTCCAAGGGCGAATCTTTATTCTAATCTACGATTCCACATACTATTAATAACTTTTTACACATCAGAATGAATTGTGCATATGTTTAGGATCAACAAATATTTTCAGGCGCAAAGGAGCTACAGGATCGAGCTGATAACGTTTCTTAATTCCAAAATCTGAAGACTGTTTTGAATAATATGTTTAGGTAATGGGCAGCAACAACGGACTACTTACAGCTTCTATTTATTAAATGCTTGATGTAACGATTGCCAGCAACGCCGCCTGGGCGAATCCTATGGCTTACCCTCCATACTAACAAAAATCCACCCTTCCCGTGACACTTATGAGAGGTCGTAGAGTTCTCTGCATCTCTTTTAAGTAAGTGTCGGACTAACATTCCTCCCCTTTCCCCACCAGATGCAAGGACGTGGCCAGGACAGCTCTGGTCTGTTGAAGGGAGACACATCCTTTATCTAAGAGGTAGTAAAGCAACGGATGAAGGTGGGTCTCCTTCTCAACAACAGTTTGGAGCTCGTACCACCTACGACATTGTGCAACCTGGTTTATGCTATGCTATGCTATGCTACAATCTTCTCAAAAATTGAATAACCCAAGGCTTCGAAATAATTGGCTTCGCAGATGATATAGTCATAATTGTATGTGGCAAATATGGCAAATTGCCTTAAACATTTTTTTTTTCCCTTTGGTTTGTTTTTTCCGTCGATCTTGTTTTCCGTGCTGAGCACCAATGCTACCGACGTGCCAGGAAGGCAGCTCCCACACCTAGACCCTACCTATCGACCCATCACTCATGAACCGGGGACCAACGGCTTTACTTCCCATCCGAAGGAAGGCGTGATCAGAGATGTTATGCCTCAGAACATCCCGGCGGCGCCGACTGGGATTGAACCCAGGCCTGCTGGGGTGAGAGGTAATCACGCTTACCACTACACCACCGGCGCCGTTATAAATCGAAGTCGTTGAGATGCTCCATGGTGATAGGCTGCCAAAGCAGCCCACGGTTCGGTACACGGTCAATTGCACCTACCGTGATCTCGTCGATTACGATGAGAAACAATAGCGGTGATAGTATACATCCTTGTCTCACACCAGCGACTACCCGGATAGGGTCGGACAAGGCTCCGTTATGCAGAACTCTGCACGTGAAACCCTCATACTGCGCTTCGATGAGGTTGACGATTTTATCCGGGACTCCCTTGCGTCTCAGGGCGCCCACAGATTATCGTGATTGACATGGTCGAAAGCTTTTTCGTAGTCAATGAATACCAAATAAAGGGACTCTTGGAATTCATTTACCTGCTCCAGGATGATGAGTGTGACAATATGGTCCACACAAGATCTTCCGGCACGGAATCCTGCCTGCTGCCGTCGGAGAGTCGCGTCGATCTTCTCCTGTATCCGATTCAGGATAACTTTGCACAGAACTTTGAGAACAATACACAGTAACATGATGCCTCGCCAATTGTCGCACACAGTCAGATCCCCTTCACTAAGATGCCCTGCATCCAGTCGGCCGGAAAAGTCGCGGTGTCCCAGATATTACAGAATAGTTGATGCAACATTTGTGCGGAATTGACGCGAGTGATGCGCCACACCCTAGGCGGATCATGCCGAGATGTTGATGGCTGGTTGGCCTTCGAAACTTGAAG